TTGGTAGAACCAAGTCTTCTCGGATAAGGACTTAAAATGGAGGTCCATTGTATACATCTGGCTCGTGTGCACTTTAAAGAACCCATTGCATCTTTCGGAAAAGTAGGGGGTTACCCCGATGTTATGGTTCATTTCAGCCCCTGTCGTTGTGGAATGATGTGAACATGTATCTACCAAGAAGCGCCTCACGGCTGCTAGGTAGTCACGGACCACGCCCCATACGCAATTCAGCAAAATGATGCTGCAAGTTATGGGTTATTCTCCTACCTTTACCTTTAATAACATTTTATATGTATATGTCTCAAACTATGTCAAAGTGTCTGTATAGTAGGCCTATATATATATATATATATACAAATATATATATATATATATATATATATACATAAATACACACATACATTTATACATACATACATGCACACATACACCCATAAAACACATGCATACGCACATACATACATATGTATACATACATATATATTACCTTGACATTATGTTCTCTACATCATACGTATTTGTCATCAGGTGTCGCAGTTCTCCACTATTTAATATATCATTGAATCGGTTGTTATCTATACATTCTTCCTTAACAAGTTTAAGATCTGTGTAGCTTTTTTCTACATGTTCATATAATTTTGTTAGTTCCTGAAAAAAAAGAAGCAAATGTTCATCTTTCCATTCGACTACTAGTAAACTTTCTCAAATTTGTTTATTGTCATTTGCCATTTGCATAAGTAAGTTTTTAAATTAATAGGCCTACTTTCTATTTGCTTAATAAGTTTTTCAATTAATGTTCCTCCTTGCTTTCTCGTTTATCTTTGCACACTGTGTTTCAATTATAATAGTGATAAACGACTCGCTCATGGTACATGGTGCTCACAATGTGTTCTTTAACTCAATGAGGTAATATTAGTACTACTGTATAGTCCACAGATTGCGGCATCGAAGGCGTCGAAGTACTCAAATTCATTGTCCTTATCGTGAACCTAGATTAAGAATTCATTTTAAAATTATATTTAACTAATCAGTTAAATTTGAATTAGGCCTACAACATTAATGATCTCAGTAAGTAACGTGGTAAAGCGTACAACATAAATAAGGACTAACTAAACACAGCATGATTGCTTTGAAATCACCACCCCAAGCCCAAACCAAGTATATGGAAGGGTCTAGGAATATCTAGCTCATAGATGCCGACCAAAAAATGGGTACCGGATTTTATTATTCATATATGATTTTATAGCAATGATAATTCTAAAAACAAAGGCCTAGTTAGGCTATTGACTTGTATTGTATTATCATAATAATTCAAAATAGCCACGTAATGAAATTCTAAATCAAGGCTGTGCTAAAAATAAGGAAATACTTCATAAACGCACAGAGAGCATGGCAATTGCATTCGTGTAGTCGTGTGATCATTTTATCCCCTGGTTTAATTTCACAACACGGATGCCTACTTATTGTTTTCTTTATTTTAGTAATAATTTGCTATTCATCTGACAAAAGGGAACTTATGTCCAATCGTAGTCCAATTTTACTATTATAAAAAAAACACAAATTCTGTATTATACGATATTTGTAATTATTTATTTAAAAAAAGCAAGTGTAGGACTAAGCCTACCACGCAGTGGCGTATCAAACGGGTGGCGTGGCAAAAAGACGCTCGCACCCTCCCCCCTCCCTATCATGTCTTCATTATTAAGATATCTGTGTTAACTTTTCATCATGGATAAGCCTACCCCCATGATAGTAAAAATTCAATGTGAAGTTATATTACCGTAGGTGCGTGATGCCTATCAAATAACTAATACCATTCCCCCAAATTCGTCGAATATCAGTAAGTTCCCGGGGGCCCTGGTCCCCAGTCTACATGCTCCCTTCGCTCGCGTATACCGAAAAACGTCGCTTCCTCATACCATGACTTCCTCATCATTTTTACCATGAAGCCTATCCTTTAATAATACCTTTTTAATAAGAATTCATTGAAGTTTTAGAAATTTAATAATAATAATATGGTGTTTTTTATATATATTTTTGTAATATGATATTAATTTTTCACAATTCTAATGCAATTATTTGAATGTTTTGATATTTCGATATGTATTTTTTAAACCTGGCATGTTTCCTATGTTGTCTTTATTTGTTGATTGTAAACAAACGTTTTCAGCCATTGGTTGCTGTTTTATTTAGTGTTTATATCTTAATAAATAAATAAATAAATAAATCCTCATGATACTTTGAATTCATTGTAAAGCAGCCACGACGTTAGACTTTAGTTTGGACAATTATGAATTCATATTACCGTCACGTGATGCCTATCAAATAACTATAAAACATACCCAAATTCGTCAAATATCCGTAGCTTCCAGGGGGCCCGGCCCCTAGTATAAATGCTCGCAACCATATAGAACATAATCCTAATTGAATTTTTCTCCGCTACACCACTGACAGGCCTATGTTGGCATATTGAAAATATAGTTTTAAGGTTTTCATGGCGAAGAAACAATAATAAATGCTTTCGGTACACCGTGTAGATATTCCAGAAAGCAACTGTTTTCTTTTTGTTGAGAGAGTCGATTGAAGCAATTCAATCGAAACATCGACAGTCTTTAAACAAAAACAATTCGTTTTAGAATTATCTACGCGGTGTACCGCAAGCACTTATTATTATATTAAATTGTCATAATAAAATGCTGAATGATATAGGACAGACCAAGACAGACCAAGACAGACCAATAATACATACCTCGCCTGATTTCCCTTCGGGTGATACATATATGCCGTCAATATCGTCTGAAAATATACACTATATAGCACACTATTTAAGCTCATAATATTAAACAAAATGCAGTATTAAACGTTGTTTGCGTATCACTACACATTTGCAGTGTATGTTTTAAATAGGCATATATAAAACTGTAAATTCGTCATCTCTATGTGGCAAATATTGAAAATACTCAACTGTTTTTAATAACACATTTTGTAGTTTGCTACACAATATTTTGAGTATATTATAATGATTACGGGGACCTCTACAGTATGCGCTTATTAAATAAGTACCTGTATTTAAGACAGAATGCTAATTAAAAAACCGAAAACGTTGTTATTGTGCTTTATCTTGATTTTCTGCTATTTCAGCAAATGTAGCATAAGTAACATAACTAGTCACACGCAGTTAATAAGCGTCAAAAGGGGGTCTAGACCGTTAAGGAATAACAGAGGGGTCCAATATAGTCTTTAGAAATTAACACCATTGACAACATCTGTTAGGGCCCTATAAATCAAATCAGAAAGAAACTGAAGCAATATGATTTTATATATAAACAATTTTTACATAGACCTATAGATAGAGCCATTAGCTTTAAAGGAGGTAGTCAATGAAACCCTGGTCATTAAGATTAACTATAATGGTTCATTTACTATTTTTAGTTCCAGACATAAAAAGGTCCAAATACTTTCTTGATTTGACATCTATTCATTAATTCAATATATATTTGCTCCAAAAGCCATCAATAGGCTATTATCCGCCATACAAGAAACATTACATTTACATTCAGATAGGCCTCATTTTGCAATAGCCAGAAAAATCTAGGAAACAATTTGTTCAAATAGGAGACGTTATTTCTTTTGATTATGCATTATTTCAAAGATACATTCTTATATCAATTTATAATCTCAGTATCATTGTCTATGCCGACGCAGGTAACACAGTTTACCTAGAGGACACAATTTGACGAGACCGAACTAAGGAATCTTTCATCATTCAACATTCGACACTTCGCCAGAAGGACGAATTCCGCCTTTTGTTTTGTAACTATTGAGATTGAGGGCATACATACCGTAGTAATCGGCAAGTTTTGGTACTGGGGACATCAGATTTTGGTATGTTCTTACTGGTAGTACAGGTGAGCTAGTGTATAAACATAATATATCTATTTTCAGAAACAAATATAAATTCAAAACGCATATTACCTAAATAAACTGGTATCTTACGATATTAGTCCTATGAGTGCAGAAAATATATGCTGACTCATTGTTACATGGACTTACATTGGAGCGACCTCACTTCCTCCAGTGGTGGTGTTTTCTTCACGTTCTGAAATCCATTAAAAATAGGATCTTGCTGAATAAAGTAATAAATACTTTTGTATTATATTCTCATTTAACATTAACAATATCCGACTATTAGGCCTACAATGCATTGTTTGAAGGTGAAATGTTACAATGGTAAATGGTAATGGTAATGGTTGGAGACTTATAAAGCGCAAAGTACATGGTCTCTATGCGCAAAACAAGGAAAAACAAAGCCTGTCTCTTATACACATCTAGATGTGTATAAGAGACAGATTTACTATTCTGTGATGTCGCATCAACCAATTCTGTTTCGATAAATGTTTGTTCGACCTGTTGGTTCTGTTGAACTGGTACCTTATCTGGTTTCTGGTCTTCTAGCTGTGTTTGCTGTTTCATTATTTTGTCTTCTTCAACACTTCCCTTGGTAATCACTTCACTTTGAGTATTTCCTTTGTTCTCGGACGTGTTTTCGTGACAGACTAAAAAACAAGAGAAGGTGCTGAATTTCCGCTTGTATGAATTTACATTAGAAAATAAGAGGGGTTTAAGTCCTTAGGAATGCTATCTACCTCATTTTTGTACCTCGTGTAGGAATATTTACGTCAAGGAAACGGGTTATTTAGGCCCAGGTTTATGCAGCAACCACAAAAACATTATTAGACGCCGAGAGGGTATTGAAAATTAGAATATAATTATATATTATTCATCATTTTAATGATTTTTCAAGTTACTTCAGTCATTAAATATAATTCCTAATTGGTAATCATGGCAATATATTTGATGAGAAAATTAGAGAAAAAATATGTGCAACTGATGTAGGTCTATAATCTGTCTCTTATACACATCTAGGTGGGGGGGGGCGATCGAAAGACAACACTACCCTAGGGGGATCGGGAAGCTTTTGTTTTCTAGACGCCTGGAAATAGCCTCTGAGGCGTTTTGAGCGATTAATAATTTCTTTTTCTTTTTTTCTCTTATTCTCCGCACTGACCCACCCACCAACTCCGCCCCTGCGATTAACGTGAATATAATGTTTAGAATTGCATAAACTATTATTGATGCTGGGAGCCTAGCTCACACAAAATTATACTCGCTTATCTAACTAAGTAGACCCACTTCAGAAGCTTCGGCCCCTTCCTGGTAAATTCTATTGTGCGCTACCATTATAGTTAGATACATACAGTATGATGCATTTTTGATAATGAAATTGGTCCTATATTACAAATTGCTTAAATTATTTACAAAAAGAACACATATATATACATAGGTTTCTTACCGTTATTTATAGTATTCTCTTTACCGGATATTTTTCTTCTTAAAGTCTCGACTGCATTATCATCTAGTACATCGAGGCTTTCGAAGCGATTAACAATGTAAGCGACATGCCCACCTTCAATAACTCCGGGTTCTTTTAATTCAGCTGCATTTTCAGCAGCCTGCTTTGTAGAGTTTTCCAAGACATCATGTTTTTGTTGCATACTTTCATTACTCTTTGAAGCAACTACCCGGCAACGTATTTCCTTATGCTCACTTTTTTCATCGACTACAGGAACTTCCGCATAATCCTCCTCCTGCTCGATATCATAGTATACTGCATCGTCCTCGTTTATTTTGGCGTAGTCTTCTTCTTTTTCGTAATCGCATTCCTCTTGTCTATCAGTTTCCGCGGAGCTCTGTAAACATGTTGCTTCCTTAACCTCATTTATCGTAATTTCAAATGATTTACTATTCTGTGATGTCGCATCAACCAATTCTGTTTCGATAAATGTTTGTTCGACCTGTTGGTTCTGTTGAACTGGTACCTTATCTGGTTTCTGGTCTTCTAGCTGTGTTTGCTGTTTCATTATTTTGTCTTCTTCAACACTTCCCTTGGTAATCACTTCACTTTGAGTATTTCCTTTGTTCTCGGACGTGTTTTCGTGACAGACTAAAAAACAAGAGAAGGTAGCTGAATTTCCGCTTGTATGAATTTACATTAGAAAATAAGAGGGGTTTAGGTCCTTAGGAATGCTATCTACCTCATTTTTGTACCTCGTGTAGGAATATTTACGTCAAGGAAACGGGTTATTTAAGCCCAGGTTTATGCAGCAACCACAAAAACATTATTAGACGCCGAGAGGGTATTGAAAATTAGAATATAATTATATATTATTCATCATTTTAATGATTTTTCAAGTTACTTCAGTCATTAAATATAATTCCTAATTGGTAATCATGGCAATATATTTGATGAGAAAATTAGAGAAAAAAAATGTGCAACTGATGTAGGTCTATAATATTGATAATTATCAAGTCCATATTTCAGTATAGAAGCCATATAAAACCCTACCTTTTATCTGCCACTCAGACATTAGACTTTTAATGCAGGCAACTATATCGTCAATTTCACATCGTCTGTGTCTCTCCATTTGCCAACATTTCAACATCATTGGTTTCATCAACTCTGGAAAGTCTTTAGGTATTTCGAGCAAAATTCCCCGTTTCACCTTGGTTTCAATATCGGAAATTAAGTGATCCGACCACGGTTGTTGACATGTCCACAACTCCCAGAAAACAACGCATAATGAGTAAATATCTGATTTTTGAGAAACCACCCGATCATCCGTAATAACCTCGGGGGCTGCCCATGATTTAGTACACCCGCCGAATCTAGAAACTACTGATTCTGTACTGGTGAGTTCTTTCGAGATGCCGAAGTCGCATATTTTCAAACGCTTTAACGATTCTTCACCTTTTTCATGAATAATATCATCACTTAGAAGAACGTTAGGTGATTTTATATCTTTGTGGGTAATACGACGCCCATGCAGGTATTGAATGCCAACAGCAATATCAAGGCACCAGTGAGTAAACTGTCTTCGTGGAAGCCTTGCTCCAACTTTCTCTTTGCGTTTAGATGCCAAGAAGTTCAAAAGATCGCCTCCTGAAGCATATTCGATGACAATCCCACTGGAAAATGGAGGGTTTACAATTCCGTAGAATTTAATGATGTTTGGGTGATCAAGTTTTCTGAGAATATTGACCTCTTTATCGTGAAGTTGCTTATTGTAGATCTTAATTGCAACTTGCCGATTATTTTGTGATGTCCACAATGCCTTGTGAATCATTGTTCCAGAACCAGCGCATCCAATTTGGAGTACATCTGTAAAATCCCCGAACGGTATCGCGTATGACTCGTGTGAATCCATAGTACCAAATGGAAACGGAGTTTTGGTTTGTAGGCCTACTTTGTATAACACAAATACATTGCAGTTTTTCGAGGTCAGTCGGAAGTCCGGTACTGTACGTAAAAGGCCGACGACGAAGAAGTTGTGTAAGCCTACGTCACTAGCCTAGGCACAGTAGATTGGTTGTCGTTGAAATGGCAATTTGTATGTGTTGTGTACTACAAACGGGACATAAGCTGTCGAAATTAATATAGAGCATATAGATAAATATTTTTTTTTCTTTATGCATGTACTAACTTATTTCCTGATACGTAAATAATAATAACAGTGCTCAAATAGGAACATGTTGTTATAATCGTATCAAGCATAGCTCATCAACAAAAGCTCCTTTATTTGAGTTGTATGAAAAAAGGTGTCTCTGGTGGGATTCGAACCTGCAACCTCTCGCTGTCAAGGGCAGTATCATAGCCATTAGACCACAGAGACCTATAGGATTATGTGCAGTCCTAACCTCCAAGCACTTTCTCTCATACAACTGACTGAAACACTCACATGGTGGAGCAGTGGTTAAGCTAGTACCAAAAATAATAAATACCTGTACATTAGTCCATCGAAGACAAGACGAGGACAGAGCAGCTCGCGATATAGTGAAACGCCGATGATGGCGTCCATGGAGTAATTTTCGTCCATCCTAGTTGCGGCGCTATATGTTTATAATCAACAGGTAATGTAAGGCACCGCTCGGGTTTGTTTCCTTATTTCTCCACTCCGTCAAAATGGTCAATATTATTTCCTCCATTGTAGAGAGGGCGGATGTTCCTTCAATTTTAATGCAAACTACGCGAAGAGCTCATTCTAGTACCTAATAGGTTAAAGCTAGGAAATCATAGAAACTTGTATGAAAAAAGGTGTGTGTTATTTTTTATGATTTCCCAGGTAAGACCTACTTTAATTTCTCAATATATTGAGACATATCTAGTTGTCTCAGATATTAATAAATCAATCTTGACTATTTAACAATACATTTAACAATACATAGTCCATAATGTGAGAGTTACAACATGGATTACCAATATGACGCGTTACATATCTGCCTGAAATTTCACTGTTCCCTGATATCTGCAATTTGCAATTCACGTCGTTAAAACACCTCTAAGAAAACAAGAAATATAATATCCGGCAATCTATAAAACAAACCTTTTCCGGGGGACATCCCCGACTATAATCTTACAATACCGGTACATTGTTTGGAGGTGAAATGTAACAATGGAAATTTTGCTGATGCTGTTCCAAGATATACCAAAACTGATTTTTAAAGTGATTGGTTTTCCCATATTTTCACAAGAAAATATATCTTCAAAGGGGTGTTAAACACCCCCCCCCCAAAACAAAACAAATCTGTATCTGGGCAGATGTGTATAAGATCACGGTCAAGTAGTTAAAAATCACCTAAAATCACCTTATTTTGCGAATTAGCGCCCCTCAACTGATCATCGAGCTCCCCACTTCACCGTCGCCCCTACCCCATCAGTACCCCCATTTCAAGACTTTTAGATACACCACCGTATTTACTGTAAAGTAGTACGAATACTGTATTCTGTTGAAAGTATAAACACTTTTCAAAACCAGGCAACATATTATACCGACTTCCGCTGCATTTTCCATTGGGCCTCAGCTTACAAGCGAAAGGTGATTTTTATTTGAGGTATTTATAGCCTCAGTGGGATGTCTATAAGACAATCTATAAGACAAACCTTTTCCGGGGAACATCCCCGACTATTAGGCCTACAATGCATTGTTTGAAGGTGAAATGTTACAATGGTAAATGGTAATGGTAATGGTTGGAGACTTATAAAGCGCAAAGTACATGGTCTCTATGCGCAAAACAAAGAAAAACAAAGCTATCCTAGGCTACACAGAAACTAAAAGTCAGAAGAGACAGACTATTGCAGAAGAGCCATCGTTTTCCTGCAATTTGAGACCACTGGCAATTAAATGACGAAGGTCCAACATGGGGAGCTTAGCTTTGAATATACGCCGCTTCAGAGCCTTATTTGGAATAAACAACTCCCTCGAATAAACGCCCCAATGCCTTTATTTTTTCCTCGAATAAAGGCCCCCCTTCCCCTAATGACTGTAAAAACTAATGGAGGCACCATCATTCTCAACACATTCTATTACTGTAATTTGCTACTCCAGTTTTCAAACCTTTGGGGTCAATAATTTTGTTTATGATCACGACATGGACATACAAATGTCGTACCTCAGCCCCAACCATGGTGGGCCTGAAGTGGTATATTTCCAATTCCTCAATGCGCCTCTGTTTAAAGTTGTACTTTCTCTGCGAATCATCTATCTATAATCTTAATACGGAGATTTCGCAACCTAACGAAAACGATAGCAAACACGAATACGTCATTTCGTATGATTGATATAAGGAGTCAGGTGTAGCCCTAAAAATAACCTGGATTAGAAGGTTTGTATTGACGCCCAACGCTGCAATATCTTTAATAGAAACCACCATTAATGATTCTAATGACATTGATGGTGGCTCCGCTATATTTCTTGAACGCATTAATAGAGAAATATGTCCAAATCGATTCTGGTATGATGTAGTAACTGCATGGTCAAATTTTTAAAATTTAAACACGCCATTGGTCGATAGTGATATGTTTAAACAAAAATTATGGCTAGAAAAGGTATCCATACGGTCAATGATATTATTAATTACTATGGATCATGTTTGACTATGCACGAATGTGTTAATAAATTTAACATCAATACAAATTTCATATACTACGGATTGATTCGCTCAATAAAAAAAATCACTAAACCGTACTAATTTTGAATGTCGATTAGTAGGAATCACTTTTCCGTTTAATATTGAGGCGATTTTAAAGGACCGTAAAGGGTCTAAGAGAATATATACCGGTAACGTATTTTATTCTAATTTGGTTTATAAGGAAAGTTATAAAGAAAAATGGCAGAGGATAAACTAGGCTGTGTTCGAGCTTTCTTAACTTTTACATAGTGATACCTACTGGCACTGACTTCTGTGAGACAATAGATAATAAAGCAAAACACAAGGGCGGCTCTGGGTTCAATTTTAGGGGGAGGGGGTCAGAATGTTTCCAAGTTTTGATTCCTAGGTGGTGGTAAATGAGCTTTCCTGACTTCTGCGGTGTATTTTGATAACTTTTAAGTTCTTTACAATTCAACGTTTTTACCCTCTTGGAAACGGTCAGGTAAATTGTCTCATTCTTATTACAGTAAATAGGCCTAGAATGTCAAGATTTCAAAACAAATCTGTATCTGGGCTATTGACAACAATGCGACTGTTTGACTTTGCTGCACACACTGTGCGGTATCATCCTTGTGTCAGCTTCCTCATGATTGCAAAATTGATTTGGCACAGGTAGCCCCTCTACTGCAACGCCGTTGTTTTGAATAACATGACATTCATTGCTATGCGCCACGAAAACTTATAAATCAGAAAGAATCTTTCTTTCAAATCTTACAAAAAAGAATTCGACAAGTCATCGTAACCATCATCATCATCATCATCGTTGTTAACAACATGAACCTTTAATATTGTTACTATATAATATATATTTATGTGTTATATTATTATAAAGCACAGATACCACTTTTTTTTGCATAAAATTACATCTATTACTACCCTTTTTATTATTAATATAATAATAATAATTATTATTATTTGCAAATCCTGGCGCCATCCTGGTGATGAAAAGAGGTGGTACATATCACAATGGTCATGCAACACTTCAATATTTGTGTTTTGCATTTGTTATTGCGTATACAGTACAGTATTTCTATGTAGGCTTATCATAAATATGCAATTAAATACAAGAAAGAAATGTTGGCATTAAGACCTGTGGCTTTGTTTTTTTTTTTTTTTTTTTTTTTGAACAAATATACCCAGTCTCCGAAGGGAATCAGAGGATTTTGGCATTTCTATATTGTTTAATTAAATTGTTTTGTAACCAGAATTATACTGTACTGCAATTAACAATCATCACCGCCACACTATCTTAGGCTACAGGCATCATTAAAAATCAACATGAAATTCAATTGTCAATCAACTTTTTATTTAATAATTATCTGTCTATCATTCAAAGTTTACAAAAATGTAAATAAACAAATACTGTATACGAATTGTTCTAGTAATTTGAGTTATTGTACAGTAACGTCAGCCTATACCTAACAACATGCACAATTAAATAATAACATTTTAATAACAATGACTTAACAATAAAAAGTAATAATAATGAATTTATATATAATTAATAAAAATATAACAATAATAATAATCGATTATGTTGCATCTGTTGCTTGCATCTACATATTCACTGCTGTTAATACGACATATGATTATTGAAGTATTTTCTGTAAGCCATTTCTGACCTTAATTAATAATATAACGTACAATGTAAATTTACTCACTACAAATATTTCATCCGTGTCCTCTATTCATGAAATATTTATAGTGGTTGTTAAGTCTGTGTTTACATTCGGTTTCACCTACAATAATTACCGTTTAATTAAATTACCGTTTTCTAGATACGCCACTGGAGAGTGTGGGAGAAGCCTACAGCCCTATGTATAAAAAAGTCGTATTTAATTGATTTGTAATGTTAACAATTTACAATTAAACATACCTACGTTCATAAAAATAATGTTAAGACATTGTTATTCTTTTCACATGCTAAGTTTAAAAAAAATTGGGTTTTTGAACTATATAGACGAATGGTTGAATAGTGGAGAAAATTGGTATGATGTATTACTGTGCTGTTGATAGTCCTACCAGGGGCTAAAGGACCAAGTGACTTATTTTCTGGGTGGGTTAATTCCTTTATTCATTTGTTTGTCTTTTTCTTTGTTTTTTATTTTTTGTCCTGCTTGTGTGCTTTCTTTTTTTCTCCCCTTTGTTCTGTGTTCTGTATGCATTTGAAAACGTTCCATTCATTAATTCTGTTTCATTCATATGCAACAAACATTCACTATCATTCATTAGGAAAAAAAATGATATGTTGTCTGTCTCTTATACACATCTAGATGTGTATAAGAGACAGGTATTAGGGTGGTACATTTCACAATGGTCATGCATCACTTCAATATTTGTGTTTTGTATTTGTTATTGCGTATACAGTACAGTAGGCTTATCATGTATATGCAATTAAATACAAGAAAGAAGTGTTGGCATTAAGACCTGGGGCTTTTTTTTTAAACAAATATACCTAGTCTCCGAAGGGAATCAGAAGATTTTGGCATTTCTATATTGTTTAATTAAATTGTTTTGTAAACATTATACTGTACTGCAATTAATAATCATCACCACCACACAGCTGTTATAGGCTACAGGCATCATTACAAATCAACATGAAATTCAAGTGTCAATCAACTTTTTATTTAATAATTATCTGTCTATCATTCAAAGTTTACAAAAATGTAAATAAACAAATACTGTATACGAATTGTTCTAGTAATTTGAGTTATTGTACAGTAACGTCAGCCTATACCTAACAACATGCACAATTAAATAATAACATTTTAATAACAATGACTTAACAATAAAAAGTAATAATAATGAATTTATATATAATTAATAAAAATATAACAATAATAATAATAATCGATTACAGGTATGTTGCATCTGTTGCTTGCATCTACCTATTCACTGCTGTTAAGGCCATATACGACATATGATTATTGAAGTATTTTCTGTAAGCCATTTCTGACCTTAATTAATAATATAACGTACAATGTAAAATGTACTCACTACAAATATTTCATCCGTGTCCTATCTTCATGAAATATTTATAATGGTTGTTAAGTCTGTGTTTACATTCGGTTTCACCTATAATAAATTACCGTTTTCTAGATACGCCACTGGAGCCAGGGGAAAAGCCCCGGTGGGGTCAGTGTGGGAGAAGCCTACAGCCTTATGTATAAAAAAAGTCGTATTTAATTGATTTGTAATGTTAACAATTTACAATTAAACATACCTACGTTCATAAAAATAATGTTAAGACATTGTTATTCTTTTCACATGCTAAGTTTAAAAAAAAGTGGGTTTTTGAACTATATAGACTAACGGTTGAATAGTGGAGAAAATTGGTATGATGTATTACTGTGCTGTTGATAGTCCTACCAGGGGCTAAAGGATCCAGAATTTTACAAACGGCGGGGTGGGGGCACAACAGTTTCAGAATAGATAATTAAGTGAGTAGCACATAACATTAATATGCATTGACATTTTTAAAATTTAGTGGCAAGACGAGGGGGAACATGCCTCCCCGTGTCCCCTACACTGGATCTGCCCCTGTGTCACACTACTACACCAATGATCTGTGCACCTTCTGATACCGTATACGTAAGAATAATTTAAATTTCTCTGGTGAATAAAACTTAAATACAGTTACTCCAATTTACAAATTGTAAATCTACACTGTTACAACACTATAATAATTCAATCAATACTGTTACAACACTATAATAATTCAACTAACTGGAGACAAACCCGTGAATTCTATGTGCGAAATTCTACAGTTTTAAAATATAGGGGCTAAGTGCTTTCTAGCGGCCATTTTTTAGTCGGATTTGCCAAGACTGTACAGTAATTCAAACACGGAATAATTATCAAAAAGTACAAAAAACACTTTAGAACTTTAGTGCACAGAGCATTTTTTACATTTAGAACAAATACAAAAATAGGGCGACGATAAATTCGCCCTTGTTGTAGTTCGCACTAACTGCATCCGCTCGAATTGACTGGCATCCACTTTTCTGTGCCAAATCGACGCTTCTATTTGTTACGCGTAAATCGCGGAGAACGCTATCTTGTGTTTATATTAGATCTTTGCTCTAAATTAACTTTCTCGTCGGTTCCGCTCTCAGAATGAGAAAAATAATAAAAAATAAGAGACTTGTGACAAGTCTAATAGCCTATGTGATTAAAGAACGCAGTAAAAATTCTGGAAAAAAGTAGATGATTGCATTCCAGTGTACTGCCGAATTGACTACAAGGATTTTATCAATTCTAGAAGTCCATGTACAGTAAATACATTTTAAAAAATGGTCCCTCCCCAATGGTTATATTTTCATCAACTTGCAGGATAAAATAAATACTGTAAGTTGGTGGTTGCTCCAGTAAAACTACATTCACATCAAGCCTGGGTTCCGGTCCGGAGCCTATGAAGAAAAAATCGTGAAAAATGGGTTCAGTGGTAAAGAATAGGACCATTCACATGAAATTCGAACGATTTCCAATCGTGACTCCAGATCTGGACCCATGAATCTGAGCCATTTGCATCCTGAAATTGTACGTTTTGTTTTCTTTGACCAATCAGCAACAAGCTTGGTTGGTTAAAACCAATAGAACACATATGTACTTAACCCAAATAACCGTGTTCCATGCGCGATGTGAACGCAGTGTTCAAAAAACATAGCAAGTCACGATTTTTTGTCCGGGCTTGATGTGAGCGTAGCTTTACTCGGGCAGTCCGCAGGAATTTAAATAAAATCAATAATTTAAATGAATTTTTCTATGTAATATCTTATAGAGTACTGCATAAAAAAAAACCTCGCAAAAAAATTGATAAATGTCAAGTGTTGTACACAAACCTTTAATCAGATAGAAAAATGTAAAATACTGAAGTATTGTAGAAATCCAAATTACTGAGATGAAAATAAAACAGTGGAGAACTTACTACCTGTACAGTACTTACTACAATTCTCATTAAGGATAATCAACAGGGTATCAAATCATTATGTATCAGATCCTTGGTTTATCATATGATGGCTAATAATGGCACATGCAATATATCTCATGACTAATTTATAATTATATTTCTTAATGATTATATAACTTTTTCATAATGATAGGTGTACAGTACAGTATTTGTACAGTATGTACTGGTATACTGTATATGAATTCTTTTAAGGAACACTAAATATTATTATTTGAAACTACATTAAACATAATATGAAGATTTTCTATTCTATTTATTTCATTATAGATCCTATTTAGCTTTGTCCACACTGTAACATTTTCTGAGACAAATATCATGCCTATATATGTTTGTTACTGTATATAAAACTTGACAGAGCCTTAGGATTTGTGTTTTACCCATCCCAGGAATTTTCTAAAACCAACATATTTCTTGATTGCTCTACTATTTGGAATATGAAAAATGTAAAACTGTCTATTACAAATGTTTTCAGAATATACACATTAGCTTCTTTCCATTTATCTTGGATTTCTCTCTCTATTCTACTGTATGTCCACATGGCATAAAAGTCAAATTTATATTCCACGACTTTAGTTTTCTACAATCATGCAAATCATGATGTTAAATCTCTGACGGTGAACACTGGTTAAATTTCTTTCAGAGGGAAAAACAAAATTTTGTCTAGAGGTTGCGGCTGCAGATCAGAATCATCAGACTCAGGACGGTGAAATCGAGCAGAGCGTCGTACCGGTGAAAAGATGACTTCTTTGTTAGGAAGACTAATGGCAGCTAAACGTTCCACCAGACCATACTCTACATTTTCACCTGTGAAATGTAAATACTGCCCATAATTTGTCTTGTCAAGCAAAATTTAAATGTCATGTCAAAATGAAACTGTAACAAAATTTGAGAGATTGTTATATTAATATTTGATTAAATGATCAAACATTATTTATCTTAAGTATTTTAAATTATAGAATACAGTATAAAATATTCTTACTCTATAAACTAAAAAATAATGCTAAACCTCCAAATTGTTATTCAAAATCAATTTTCATATGAAAGAGCCATTTATTTAATAATAATAATGCAAATAAATCATTAAAAAATGTTTTAAAAAATCCCAAAGTAAATTAGAATACATAACTTCATAAAATTACACTTGTACTGCAGAGTGTAGAAACATATGATCACTACATAGTGACTTCTCAGAAAATAATAAGAAAATATGAAATTGGCCTATATAGCCCTACAATGTAAAAAATTATTAAAATTCTAACATCTAAAAAAAAAATCATATTAACCAATATAAAATAAATTTGGGATAGAACATAAGTACTGTATTCAAAATACTGTACAGTACTTTAATAAGGAAAAAGATTACCATTTTCAGGTGTTGGAGAATCAAAACAAATAAGGTCTTCTGTTGTTGAAACACCACTTGAAAGAGGATCATTTGAAGTTTTTAACTATAGCAGGAAAATTAAAGAAAGATATTGAGTTGACTTTTTTAAATGAGAATTACAATTATGGATGTTCGAAGCTGACAGTAAGATAAGATTATATTCGACTTAGTAGAAAGAAAGGTAAAGGTAGTTAAATAACCCATAATTCGTAGCTTCATTGTGCACTTATAATAATTTCATGTTCATATCATTCCTCGACAGGGGCTCTTCTGAAAGATGCAATGGGTTCACACAAGTCAGAAGTGTACACGTGACCTCCATTTTAAGTCCTTATCTCATCTACCATCTGATCCCCATCAATTGTCGAAGTTCAAGGCTGTAGTTAGCGGTGCAGCTGCCTTACTGCCCAGTCACTAAATTTGCACAAAGGGCATATGCTTATATGAATTAGCATTACATCCACTATGGAGTACTAAGCCACATTAATATGCACATTGGTTTGTTACATTTGTTATACTACCTACTAAGTGGTCATAATGTATAAGTTTTCACAGCATTTTTTTCTTCTTATGTATCAGATCTGATATTCAATAAAACATTTTAAAAATCTCACCAATTGTTATCCAACTTATATTTAATTGTTGTTATAAGTTTACACGGCTGTAAGAGGCACTCAGTCCCCTATGGTAGCACTGTCCACGTCAGTAAATAATGTAAAAACAATTTTTTAAACGCTTTTACTTTCATTTTTGTATGTCACCGCTAATGATTGAGAGTTTAGACGGTATCAACGTGCAATATAATTAATACTATACACAAAAGATAACATGCAAGATAACATAAATACATGCAGTGATTTCCCTTTTATCATCCCTGTTTACCTGAAGAGGACTTTCAAAGTTGTTGATGAAATCTAACTTCTTAATATCATTCTTTGATGAGCTCTTCTTAGCTGAATAACTATTTGGGGTTTTTCCTGTAAATATATATCAAGGTATCTTTATTCATAAACAAAGTCAAAATACATTAAAAAAACATTTCTGGCAGTTCACAGAACTGAATTGCGAAAACGTTAAAAATACATTATTTATAAAATTATTAGTTATTTCAATTAAGATTCAAATTATTATTACTGTACAAATTATTTATAAAATTATTTTAATATATGTACAAATTAAGGAATTGAACATTCAGAAAAACATAAACATTTAAAAATTTACAACATAACAAGCAATATAAATAATCAGGACATAGATAAAAAAAAAATTAAAAAAAGCACAAAACAAGGGAGGTTTTACTGAGATGTGCTGAGGAAGAAAGGGTTCATAAAGAAAGAAAGCAGAGAAAGGAAAAAAAAAAAAGATGAATTATTATCCTTTTTCTTTCC